TCTGCTCGTCAATGCCGTGTTGGCTAGGCAGTTTTCAGTTCTGAAATTCCGCCCAGTCCAGTAACCCTACCGTTTCCGCTTGTTGAATGCCCCCTTCTAGGGCTCTACCCTGTTCAGGGGAGCTCTTCCTTGGGTTCAGAAGGATATGAAGGAGGACTCGGTCGCCTCAGCACTTCTGGTGAAGAGGTTTCAGGCTGAGAAGGCCAGTGCCTCGCAGGGGTCAGTGCCTCCTAAGAAGAAGGCGAAGTCTTCGGCTGCTCAGTTTTCTGCACAGCCCAAGTCCCAACCTCACTTCAACGGCAACAAGGGGAAGGGTAGGAAGGGTAAGAAACCTCCTGGGGGCAAGAAGAAGGGTTCCTGACTATTTCTGCTTCTTGGCCGCGAAAGGCGAAGGGTATGGCCGGGTGGACGGTGGTTCTCCTTTCCCGGGCTCATGTCCTTCTCCTGCAGGCTCAGGCTCCGGGTGGGCAGACGATTCTCTGGTCTGGCAGGGGCTCGATCTGCCCCATCCGGAACTCCCTGTGGGCGGACGTCTCTCTGCTTTCCTTTCCTAGTGGCAGGATATTACAGAGGACGCTTGGGCTTTTGTCGGTGGTCAGGGAGGGTCTAGGTATTCCCCTTCTTCAGGATTCGTCCCTCGCCTCCTGGCCGTTTTTGTTTCTTTCCTCCTCCCGGGGATTCAGAAAGGGCACAGGTGCTCCAGGAGGAAGTAGGGACCATGCTGCCAAGGCAGAGATGCCCTTGGGGCTCACGACAGCTCCTTTGGTGTTCACCAAGTTGCTGCTGGTGTTTCCTTCACTCATGCAGAATAGACGTCCACATCTATTTCGACGACTCCCTCATGCCTCTTGGTGTGGGAATCGTTAGTGAAGGACACTCGTCTGGTCCTGAAACTCTTGCTCAGAGTCGGCTTCATTCCTTCCAGAGAGAAGTCAGAGGTTCCTTCATATTAGGACTTCTTCTTCCTGGGGAACCATTTTGACATGGTTCGGGGCTTAGCCCTTCCACCTCTGGAGAAGTTTGAGAAGGTCAGGGCTCTGGCTCGGACTTTCATCACTTGGTCGCTTGTCCAGGTACATTGGTTCCTCAGTTTTCTGGGGTATCTCAACTCCTTGGCATATGTGGTCCCCCTAGGGAGGATTCACATCGGACCTCTCCAGATGTTCCTCCTGTCTGACTGGGTTCCGTCATCCAGGAGGCCTGGATCCCGCTTACCCAGTCGGTCAGGGAGTTCTCTTGCTGGTGGACCATTCAGGAGAACGTTTTCCACGGGGTACCTCTGACCAAGCCTATCCCCTCTATGATCCTGTTCATGGACGCGTTCATGACAGGAATGTGAGCTTACCTCGATGGCCAATGCCGCTTGGGGGAGTGGTCTGGCGAACAACTCTCGGAGCACATCAGTGTACTCGAGATGAGACTGTTCATTTGGCTCTGCAGTCCTTTAGGGGTATCCTGCAGTCCAAAGTGTGGCTACCGACAACAGTTGTCGCGTATCTGGAGAGACAGGGGCCACCAGGTCTCATGTCCTGTGTGCCCTCTCCATCCACATCCATCTTCTCTGCCAGGACATGCAGTTGACCATAGCGGTCAAGCATCTTTCTGGCAGGCTGAGTGTGTTGGTGGCCACTCTCCAGGCGCCACCAGCCGGTGTTGACGGAATGGCAGCTGTGTCCCTTGATTTTCAAGGGGAATTGTCAGGCGTGGGACAGACCTATTATAGACCTGTTTGCCACTTCCCTGAACAACCAGCTGCTAACCTTCGTCTCCCCGGTCCCAGACCGTAAGGCGTGGGCTGTGGACGCCCTTTCTCTGGAATAGGAAGGGACGTATGCATATGCATTCCCTCCCTTCAACCTGGTGGGCAGGGTTCTACAGAAGTTCTGGGAGCATCACTGCTCCTTACTTCTGAGAGCCCCTCTGTGGCCGAGGCAAGCTTGGTTTCAGGAGCTCTTGTTGTTTCTGGTGGAGGAGCCCTTGGCTCTCCCCACCAGACCGAATCTCCTTCGCCAGCCTTGGCCCAGAACGACACACTCTTGACCAGAGATCCTCCACCTTCACGCGCTGAGGCTATCTCTGGAAGCCACGCCAAGGCAGGCTTTTCTCAAGAGGTGTCAGATTGCATTGAGCAATCAATCAGGGCTTCCTCTTCTGCCGTCTACCAGTCACGTTGGATGATCTTCTGTGATTGGTGTGTCGGCAAGGAAGCTTATTCATTCGAAGCCTCTGCATTTGATTGCGGACTTCCTAATCTCTCTGTTTAGGTACCGCTATCTGCCACCTGGCACTATTGCTGGCTATCGTACAGCTATTGCCAGAGTTCTTGCTTGTTATGGCAGGAAGGAGATCGGTTAGTCCTCCTCTCTTTCTGCCCTAATCAGAGGCTTTGCTATGAATAGAGTTGTTTTTAGCGAAGAATCAGGTTCCGGGGTTCTCGCACGATCCCATCAGGATCCTGGCTGTGACTAGCTCGGAGGAGCGAGATAGGTTGCTTTGTCCTTGTCGGGCTCTTAGGTTTTATCTTGATAAAACCAGGGGGGGGCGGGGCTCTCGATCCCGTCTGTTTTGCCCATTAAACAGGGGCAACGAGATATCTCCTCCCAGTCGGTTTCCAGGTGGGTTTGCCAGGTGATTTAGTATGCTTACGAGCATTTTGATGATCTGGCTCGGGCGAGAGCGAAAGCACGGTCTCACGAGGTCAGGGCCCTTGCTTCATCCTGGGCCCTTCTCTCAATGAGTCCTCCTTTCAGGAGGTCATGTCTGCAGTATTCTGGCAGGGCAGGGATACCTTAACAGATTTTTATCTGTGATCCCTAGCTTCCCACTCAGAAGGCCTGTATTCATTGGGACCTTTGGTGGTGGCATAGTCAGTGGCTGGGCCTCCTCGTTAGCCCCGGGCCATGTCTTTCCGTACGGCGGCATGTGGGTACACCTGCTCTTTCACAGAGAGGTCCCTTCCTTCACTTTAGCACTCTGTTCTCCCTCCCTACTACTTTGGTTGTGCTGAAGGGGCTGCCTGGCTTCTAGTCACCACTACGGTAAGACGAATTCGCATACTAAAGTTATGGTAATTATTACTGAAATGAAATTGAGGTTTTTTAATGTAAAACCAATTTTCATGATGTAATACTTACCATAACTTTATGGAGTCCCACCCTATCCTCCCCTCTTCCTTATCTGCCTGGCTGCCCCTCTGTGGGGTTTACACCATAAAGGTTATTAGAGGAAGGGAGATCACTCTGCGTTCCTGCCGTGATGGCTCATGGATCGTAGGGAGGGCGGGATTGTTTTTCTTTTGAATCTTTTGTTGTTGGGATACAAAGATGGGTGTAGGTACTGTATTTGCATACTAAAGTTATGGTAAGTATTACATCATGAAAATTGGTTTTACATTAAAAAACCTCAAATTACAATACAATAGTGATTACATTGATACAGACATAATACAATAGTGATTACAATGATACAGACCTATTATACAATAGTGATTACAGAGATACAGACGTATGATAATATAATAGTGATTACAGTGATACAGACAAATTACAATACAAGTGATTACAGTGATACAGACATAATATAATACAAAAGTGATTATAATGAAACAGATATATTATAATACAATAGTGATTAAAGTGATACAGACATATGATAATACAATAGTGATTACAGTGATACAGACATATTATAATACAATAGTGATTTCAGTGATACAGACATATTTCAATACAATAGTGATTACAGTGATACAGACATATTATAATACAATAGTAATTACAGTGATACGGACATATTACAGTGATACAGACATATTGAAATACAAAAGTAATTATAGTGATACTGACATATTGATACAGACATATTACAATACAATAGTGATTATAGACATACAGACATATTATAATACAATAGTGATTACAGTGATACAGACAAATTACAGTGATATAGACATATTATAATACAATAGTGATTACAGTGATACAGACATATTACAATACAATAATGATTACAGTGATACAGACATATTCATAGAAACATATTATAAAACAACAGTGATTTCAATGATACAGACATATTATAACACAAAAGTAAGTGATTACTGTGATACAGACATATTATAATACAATAGTAATTACAGTGATACAGACATATTGTACTACAATAGTAAGTGATTACAGTGATACAGACATATTATAATACAATAGTAAGTACAGTGATACAGACATATTATAATACAATAGTGATTACAGTGATACAGACATATGATAATACAATAGTGATTACAGTGATACAGACATATGATAATACAATAGTGATTACAGTGATACAGACATATTATAATACAATAGTAAGTACAGTGATACAGACATATTGTACTACAATAGTAAGTACAGTGATACAGGCATATGATAATACAATAGTAAGTACAGTGATACAGACATATGATAATACAATAGTAAGTACAGTGATACAGACATATGATAATACAATAGTAAGTACAGTGATACAGACATATGATAATACAATAGTGATTACAGTGATACAGACATATTATAATATAATAGTAAGTACAGTGATACAGACATATTGTACTACAATAGTAAGTACAGTGATGCAGGCATATGATAATACAATAGTAAGTACAGTGATACAGACATATGATAATACAATAGTAAGTACAGTGATACAGACATATGATAATACAATAGTAAGTACAGTGATACAGACATATTATAATACAATAGTAAATACAGTGATACAGACATATTGTACTACAATAGTAAGTACAGTGATACAGACATAGAACTAATCTTTGAACTATTTGAAGTTCATTTTATCATGAAGTTATTCTTCAACATCGTCAGATGGCACAAATGGAGTTATCAAATCTGTTCATTTAACTTCTCCAATGGCAGCATTTCAAATAACTTGCTAAAAGGCTCATGCCAAAAAAGGCTTTCATTTTGAAAAACTACAAAAAAAACAAATCTAAAACTCTGTTAATTTTGGTCAGAATTTTATTAGAAATCATAAATACATGTATAATCGATCTTAAGGTCAATTGCAACAAGAGATCACCACGATGTGGTTTTCTTAGTGTTCTTTAAAAACATCACTCTAGTGAGATAGGTCAGATAACAAATTCTTTCATGTTATTTATATTTTTATTTGTATTGAACATACAACACTCATAATCTCCTAGAAAAACACTATGTTAATAAGTACCAAAGAATTATCATGAAAACCGATCTTTGCATACATAAAAATTTCCACACATACAGTGTTTACATCAGGCATTAGTTTTTATATCTTCTTACTTGGAGTGTAATCACTGTTACTGTGTCAAAAATCATAATGGAAAAGTTATACAAATACTTTAGTTTTACATAAAAAAAAAATGTAATCAATTATAAAATGTAGAAGTGCAAAGATGATATTCAACATAGAAGTCACTTCATTCTTGATATCTCAAATTTTCAATGACTGACTGGGATTAAAAGTCATTTGTTAATATGGTCAGGCTGTATCAAGTTTGCTGTACTGTCATTTTTGATGAATTTTGGACTTAAATCCTGCTTCATGACCCAAGCGACATAGCTTGATGAATTCTATGGCTTTACCATGGCCAAGCTGCATGTAAGAGATCACTGACAATGATTTTACTGATATAAAACACATAACAGAGTATTATTCACTTAACAGCTTTATAGTAATGCCCCTTTCTCTCTTATATGTAGGTGAAATGAGAATTGAAACAAACAATGGAAAACTCATTTCACTTTTTATCAATTTTAATGAATGCAACAAAAAAGAACTGAAGATGATCTACCAAATTTTGATCATGTGAACAAAACTTTGGCATTGATAAGCTGGAGACATCCAAGGCATCAACCCTTCATATATAGTAGTATGTAGCATGACTAAATAGTCAACCCTTATACATACTGTAGTATGTCTACATGTGTTAAATTTGATTACAAAAATTCACAGAATTGATGTATGTATAAGCCCAGATACATATACAGAAATGTACATTGTATTATAAAAACCATTAACAGCCTTAATATTTCATATCTATGTACATTTACGTAACATCCACCAGCACTAAAATTTACTCTTCTAACAAATGATCACCTTTGACCTACAAAATACTTTCAACCTATGAATGTAGATATATAACCATGACTACAAATATAATAACAATACATTTGTGTTCTTCTACAGACATTCTCAGCTTTAGATCATTCTTATGTAACTCATTACCTGAACCAATAATTTTAATATTCAATCTTTTTGTATTTGGCAGTTTCATTAAGCCATGTATCTATACCCCAGGTTTGACTGGCATTAAATCTGAATGACAAACTCAATGCAAAAGTTTAGAGTACATTTTCTCAACATCCCTATGCTGGACCATAATACCTGCAAGATATTTTTGTAAATGATGGATGTGTTGAGCTGTACACTAAGTGATCTAAGTTGGACAATGGATCTATACACAAAATACGCTGAAATTTTTACAGCACTTGATCCATTCATTATATACACTTAAACATGATTATCACTGTGAATCAGCATATCTAAATGAGCCTAGAAGAATCTCAGTTTTATTTACAGCATTGCTGATTCTTAGCTTAGAGTCACAGTACCCTATAGCCAGACCTTAGCCAAGGTAAACAATACATTAAAAATCTGAAACACTGGTCTAAAAAATACACAACTTCTTCATTCATTTTTTCTTTTCAAATAGGATGAAGAAATTGATTTGATTTGTCATATCATATTCAACAACCAATCAACAGATTGGGAATTTTTTGGCTGAACTCATATGCAATGTATGATAAGGAAATATGTAAGAAAACATTTTATTTGGGTTTTTTTCTTTTCTATCCTCTGTACTTCTTCTTAATGATACAAAATCTAAACATTCCTTTGGTGATAAAGCACAATTAATCTTTAAGTGCCAAATCGCCTGTCAGCTATTTTGTTTTTGAGTTCCAAAATTATACTTTCAGAACTAGAGATATAAGGGAAACCTACATATGAAATTAGAGAGAGATCCATACAGTACTTCTCAAGAAATAGCCATAATAAACTTTCATTGTTGAAATATAAGATGGCCTACTATCAACCATTTTGTTTTTCATATCAATCTCAAACTCAAATGAGAACAACTAGGGACCATGGGAAACCTACATATAAAATGAAAGAGATATCAATCCAGGACTACTAAAGAAATAATGATTACAATATTTAACAAGCCATCCTGTCAGCCATTTTGTTTTTCCGATAACTTTCAAAACCACACTTACACAACTAGGGACCAAGGGGGACCTACAATACAATTCAGTGCTTCTCTAGAGATAGTGATAACAAGTTTTACAAGGTAAAATTCAAGATAGCTGTCTGTTAGTCATTTTGTTTATCTGATCAGTCCTAAATACCCCGGAAACAACTAGAGACCAAGGGGAGCCTCCATTATGAAATAGGAAATCAAAGATGGCCATCTGTCTGCATTTTGTTTTTCTGAGCAGTCCCAAAATCAAATGGCCATAACTAGGAACCTAGGCAAACTACATAAGAAATGTGAGAAAGATTCATCCAGTACCTCTCAAGAAATAGCCATATTTACAAACTTATAAAATCAAAATCATAGATCACTGCTCGTTGGCCATATTGTTTTTCTTACCTGCCCAAAATCAAATAGGCACAAGTTGGGACAAAGAGAAATCACCATTATAATTTTAAGTGAGATCCATCCAGCACTTCTCAAGAAATAGTGATAACAAAAATTGTTTACAGACAGATGGATGGACAGATGATGGTAGGCTAAGAGTGCACTAAGTAGTGCAAAATTTTTAATATATAGATGAAGAGTTTATCTTTGTAACATTGAAAGTATTTTAGTTTTTTTTTTTTTCTCCCCAAAACAGCTACTCAGCTAATAATACTACTTTACAAATGTTCTCAGATTCTTAATATTATGCTGATGACCATTGGACAAGGAGGCCACACTGTATACTGTAAGCACTTTTTGGCCATAAACACATACAAAGTTTGTCAATTTTGTGGAGAGTGAGTGACAAGCTCTGTCAATCCCGGAAAAAAACATAACTGGAGCCTAAGTGTACTGTTGAAGTCCGAGACTGCCACTGCAATTCTCTTTTGAGGATCCCGGGCTCGACCTTTGGACACTAACTCATTTACCTGTAATTATCAAAACATATTATCATTATGTATTAATCATTCATTAGCAGTTTGTTTGGGTTTTTCTATGTGCTGGGTTTACCATCCTGTGAGCAGCCAACTTAAAGTTGTTTGTTTGTGTGTTTGCCAGATTTTTCATCCCATGAAAAGCCAGTTTTTATTTGTTTGGGTCTGTTTGTGGTCTAGGTTGATCACCCGTGAACAGGTCCCAGTTTCACAAATCTGCCTTAACTTCCATAGAAAAGCATCACATAAGTTAAGGAAAAACCTAGATTTAAGGAAATTTCCTTAACTTATGTAAAGCTTTGCTATGAGGAATTATAAGTTAAGGGAAATTCCTTCAGCTAAGGAAGAGTCATGAAACTGGGATTAGCTGGCTGTAACTGTCTACCCTTCTTTTCTCTGTGAACAGCATGATACAATGGGTTTTGAACCCATTCAAAACATGAAACTTGATAGCTATTGCTTTTTCATCCTAAAACCATGTCTTACTACACTGGGTATAGTGTAAATTAGGGTCAAAGTCAGAACCTGTATATCCAATGCTAAATTTCATTTTTACCAAAAACTAGAATTAAACATATCAAAAGGAGAATATCATTCCCCAATATATAATTGAATACACAAGAGACTTCAGAGGGGTACAACATTGTTTGATCTTTATTTGGTTTTCAAAAGTTTTTATCTTTCCCCTTCCTCTCTCTTCTTTTCCTCGACTTTGCTCTTCACTATAAGAAATTTGAAAATGAACCATCTTTGTACTTTTGAGGAAATAACAAATTACTACTGACCAAATTCAAGTCGGCCATCTTTTTGCTATTTTGAAATTTGAATCAGTCCCAAAATAAAAAGACGTACAACTAAATATCAAGGTTATCCGTACACATGTAATGTGAAAATAACCTTCCCTATGCTTCTAAAGAAATAGCGAAAACAAGAAATCTTTACGGACAACAGGATGGATGAACAAGGTAATATCTTTATCTTCCATAATTAGAAAAAGAATTTTACAGCATCTTTTATTTTAGTTAGAAAATGTTTAAAAGACATTAATGCCACAGCTTATACGATAACCTGATTAAAATACAGATCTTAATTTAACTGTGTTACTTTCCACATTAGTGTCTGTAAACATACCATATCATAAGTAGACATGTTATGTCAAAATTACTTAATGCTCTAGTAGGATTATGCAAGCTGCTTCACCTACCTTCATTCACTTCCAAGAATTAGTAAGAAGTAATTTGATTGGCTAATGAAAAAGATCACCAGAATATGACCACTTACCACTTGTTGTCAGATCTTAATGTAGACAGTACTGAAGCAAGAATTCTGCACTGCATTTTAATCAAACTGATGTTAGTCAGATTGCAAACACTACATGCGTAACCATGAAGGAGACAAAGGTATGAGAACCAGTTTTAAATTATTTCTTGGGGTACATTTTGTTTTATTGTTAACACCAATCGAGAGGAAGACATTGAATCAATGCCCCTGTAGTCAGGGAAAGACCTATTTTAAAGAAAGAACACATGAAACTGATGTGCTTTTTATGGGACCTGATAATGCTGATTAGTACAAAAAGATTGATAATTAGATATCAATTTTGTATACTTACAAGTGTGAACATTGTGAGAAGGTCTGTCTGACAGGCATAGTTCCTGAAGACATAAACTAGTGCCTGAATGAACCAAGATCCAAACAGAACATTTCGAAAAGACACATTATCTGTGAAAAACAAAAACAAACATAAAATGAATAAATACATTGTAACTGTATTATCTTCATTTTCAGGTAAACTACTATTACAGTGTAACAGAGGTCATTATTCATTTTGATGCCTCCACAAGGATTAGAACTGGGACCCCTGGCCTACTAGTCTGACATTAACTGTAGCACTACTTTCCTGTATACAGTAACTGTATATTTTCATCTCATCCAATTCAAAGTCAACCACCTGTACCACCCAACTTCTTCACCATTGACAAGAGATTCCAGAGGGATCTTGGAATCCACCATTGTATATTAATCTTTTTTGTTCTTAAAAAGTTGGATATTTTACCAATCTTGTCCCCATTTCTACTCTTCATATTAGCTCATAAAATTTTAAATTTCTTATTATGAAGAGTGACATTAATCTTTGTCTTTCAAATCCATGAGAGTTGCCTATAAGCCATTTTGTTTTGCTGATCTGTTCCAAACCGCACATTCACAACTATGGACAAAGTGGATTTTACATATAAGATTAGAGAATGATACATCCAGTATCTCTAAAAGAACTGTTAAAAGATGAATGGATGGTAGACCACAGACAACTTGTACAGCACAGCATTGCATATGCTGCATCTAATCCAATTGACCTGTATCCCTTTCTCATATTAAAAATTTTTTCACAAACACATTAATTAACATTATACATCACTGCTTTCAAAGGAGTTCTTATTCTAATCCACAAACAAACTGTGAAAAAATGCTTATGCTGCATGATAAACCTTATTTGTCTTCAATAGAAACCAATATATACATTAGAATCATTTATAGACAACTGATGGATCCTATGTCAATAAATACAATAGAATCATTTATAGACAACTGATGGATCCTGTGTCAATAAATACAATAGAATCATTTATAGACAACTCATGGATTCTGTGTCAATACATACAATAGAATCATTTATAGACAACTCATGGATTCTGTGTCAATACATACAATAGAATCATTTATAGACAACTCATGGATGCTGTGTCAATACATACAATAGAATCATTTATAGACAACTGATGGATCCTGTGTCAATAAATACAAGAGAATCATTTATAGACAACTCATGGATTATGTGTCAATACATTCAATAGAATCATTTATAGACAACTCATGGATTCTGTGTCAATACATACAATAGAATAATTTATAGACAACTCATGGATCCTGTGTCAATAAATACAATAGAATCATTTATAGACAACTCATGGATTCTGTGTCAATACATACAATAGAATAATTTATAGACAACTCATGGATTCTGTGTCAATACATACAATAGAATCATTTATAGACAACTCATGGATCCTGTGTCAATACATACAATAGAATCATTTATAGACAACTCATGGATCCTGTGTCAATAAATACAATAGAATCATTTATAGACAACTCATGGATTCTGTGTCAATACATACAATAGAATCATTTATAGACAACTCATGGATTCTGTGTCAATACATACAATAGAATCATTTATAGACAACTGATGGATCCTGTGTCAATACATACAATAGAATCATTTATAGACAACTCATGGATCCTGTGTCAATAAATACAATAGAATCATTTATAGACAACTGGTGGATTCTGTGTCAATAAATACAACAGAATCTTTTATAGACAACTGATGGATCCTGTGTCAATACATACAATAGAATCATTTATAGGCAATTGAAGTTATTTGGAGTGTTTTAACAACTTTGACCCACATGACCTCTAAAATAGGTCAGGTGATTATTTGTTTTGGAAGATTTGTTCAGCTTCACCTCAGAACCAAATACCACATTCCAGATCATTTAGTTAATTTCACCCCTTAACTTACAATACAGGTCAAGGTAATTTTTTGTTATATATTGGTCAGGAGGAACATATAAACTAGATATCTTTATTCTAAGTCTTTCAGTTAATTTGTAATCAGCAGTTAGTTGTATGAGCATTTTAAGAAATTTTACTCATGTCACTTTGATTATGGATCAATGTAATTTCGTAAATTTTCATCCCATGCAGGAACTCGCAATTTGACAAATATTGTGATTCTTTGCCTGTCAGATAATTAAAAGAATTTGTTTATCAAATACAATCCCTGTGACCTTTGATATTGGTCAAGCTACCAGCTAAATATGATGACTTTTGGCCCTTTGGCTATTGAAAATAAGTAGTTAAATTTAAAGTTGATGCTAGCCAGATGCCACTTGGCATTTGGCCTTTCAGGCCAAGAAAGCTAATAAGAAACAAAAAGAACAGGGGGAACACATTGATATATTCCCATGTTCAGGGTTCATGAGATACCTTGCGCACACACTTTTTATTTCAAAAGCAGTCATGTTAGGGTCACCTTACACCATAAATCTGATGTATATGAAGGGACACATATGTGTAAACTGCCCATTATACTTCAGAACATTGTAGAGGATTAACCAACTTAGCAGTGAGGAACATCCAGTGAAGCAGTAAATTTTACATGCCTTAATCTGTCTCAATCCGGGGACAGAGCCTTCAATTTTCCTATACACAGATGTTCAACTATATTGCTGTTATTCGATAGCAGATAAATACATAAACCTTCTTTTTATTATTATATTTTTTATCATCATAGATTATCACAGAATTAGAAATGTTCTGTGAAAAGTTCATTCATCTTTCTAACTTACCTTGTGTTGTAGCATAAGCTATAAACATGTCTGCATCAGATGGTGATTTCTCTACTTGGCTGTCGATCTGGTCGATAGTCTCAGTTTGAGGTACTGCATTGAGATTTAGGGCAGCCATTGACTTCTTTGCATCAGCCACATTGTCAGCCACGTTCGCCCCACTGTCATAATTATCTGCGAGGAAAAAAGAACACAATCATATACATCTCCAGTGGAGACAGGCCAAGTAAGAACATGAGGCCATAGAGCCCTGCATTGTTCACCTGGCTAATTCAGCTATTCAGTTAACAAAGATTTCCGAATATGACAAATAATGTCTGAAACAATTTCCCTCTTGGGTCTTGGCTTTGTATTCAAACAGAAGTCAGATTCATCATTCATAAAAATTTCTTTAGACCAACCTAGGAAAATATACTTGTACAAGAGAATGATTTTTAAAAAGTAACATTTCCCCTTTTGGGCTCCACATCACTGATGTCAGACTCCTGGTAGACAAAAAGTCATGTTCCTTTCAACAATATATAGGTATGCTTCAGACCACAATAGGACAGAATCAAGGCATTCCAACAAAAAAAAACCCCAATTTTTAGAGAATTTCCTCTATTTCCACTATTCTGCCTTACAAAAGAGTGCCAAGACCCAACATTTATACAAAACTGATTCCCCTTCACCTAAGAATGATTTTGACCAAATTAGGACAGAATTCTGATATTTCTACAGAAGAAGATGGGTTTTAAAGAATTTGCTCTATTTCCCCTATTGGGCCCTGCCCCTCTCGTCCTTCGGAAGACGAGACTCATTGTTGGTACAGTTGATTTCCATCCAGCCACACATGTTTTAGACCATTATGGAACAACATTCAAGCATTTCTACAGAAGAAACAAATGGTTTTTTTTTAAAGAACTGCTCTATATCCCATATTAAGTCACACCCCTCAAGCCCCAGAAAGCCAAGACCCACCCCTTATACATGCTTTACTCAAGCATTATTCAGACAGAATCCTGCTATTTCTACAGAAGAAGGATTTTACAGAATTTGCCTTATTTTCTGAATTGGTTCCTGCCCCTTCCATCCCATGGGGCTGAAACCCATCATTTATAAAAATTGATTCCCCTTCATCAAATTATGGTGCAAATCATAAAAAAATTTCATATGGACCACAGATTTTGAATTGTTTAGCCAATGCTCATTCTAAGAATATAAATTTGGAATCACATTTATGCCATTTAGAGGTTGCACATGTGCTTTGCTTATCTTGATGTCAATATGAAGGTTGCTCCATATCTCTTTCACATGACTTCATGCAAAGTGCATATGAAGTCAAATAATCACTGTGATATTGGTTGCAATATGCAACAATGTTATATTAGTATGTATGAGACCTGTACTGAGTAGGTAATGATGAAATTTAGGTACGGAATGAAAGTTGATGCATTACTGAAATTTAATATCAATTGTGATTCAACAAAGGCTGTAGAAGACCTGATTTACCTCCACGACAAGCCTGTATGAAAATTAGTTTAGGCTTGTCCGTCATACTGGTGAAGTTCCTGTTATTGAAGGATCTTTTCACTTCAGCAGTAGGAAGGATTTTACCATCTATTCCATAGATCCCTTCAGTTGAACCATGACTCAGGAAAACTAAGATGAAACAGTCAGCAGACTTATGGAAAGGATGTGTTTTCTCTTCTTCAATGTCAGATTTCATTTGCTAAAGGAAACAAAGACAAGATTTCTGAATCAAAAAAATAAATCTTATATTCTTTTAGTGTTTCATATGACATAAACTTTTGTATGTGTATTTTTTAAAAACATTTTACCAGTTTCTTCTTTCCATTACTTTTTGCTAAAATTTTGTTTTCATCAGAATCCTTGATTTCTGATTGGGAAAATAAAAGAGCATAATGGATTAGTCTGGTGATAATTCCTTTATCCAAACTCCAGTAGGGGATTTTTACACTTTTTTCTAATTTGACCCTGCCCCTCTCAAACTAGGGCCTTGATTTATACAGATTTTATTCTCCTTGACCTAATTATGCTTCAGATCAAATTGCATTTTAAAGATAAACTTTTTTTTGCCTATTAATATTCACTGAGATGCCAACCTGTGGTGACTGAAAAATGGGGTCTTTCCCCAGTGCCAAATTTTGAAAATCACATGCTCAGAAAAGCATTCTCCTGGCTTAAGAGTGTATTCTGCAGTACAAATACGCAATAATCAAGTCCTGGGCAATGTTTGAATGCAAATAAATGAAAAACAAATCATGAAATTAGTACCACAAATCATGCAGAACACATGGTGTACACTAATTTGTGATGTAACAATAGACAGATATTTTTCCATGAATTCCTTTTTGAAACTTTGCACATGCTGTGCTTTCAATTTCATGTTCACAGTGGTCCAGTTGATGTGCCGTCCTTGTTTGCTGCCATCTTGGCACATTTGTACACTCGTGTTTATCCACGTGGTAATTAAACAATTGATACTTTAATGTTGCACTCTGCCACACAAAACAAGAACCAGTGTTAGAAGAATTTACATGCAGTGGCAATGCAATTTCTGTACAACAAAAAACATGACAAAGATATCTTTTTTTTTAAAGAAAAGAGAATTAAATATAAAATAAGAGGCAGGATTTGGACACTAAAAACGGAAAAACTTCGCCAACATCATAGTGGTTGGCATCTCTGTATTCAACCCTTCTGCCACCAACAGAATGCTCTAGACCAAATTTGTTCAAAAGTGTGGGAGATATGTAATATGCCAAAATATAGATCACATTGACTTACTTTTGAAACATTTATTTACTGCCTCACAAAGAATAACTCAACCCATGGCTAAATATTGAAGGAAATGAAGCCCAGACAAGCACATTCTTTTATATAAATAAAAGATCTTAATCTAGGTGACAGTGGTACCTGAGACAATGCCTGATCAAAATTCACCCAAAACCCAAGTATAAAGTTCCAGTAAACAGACGTACTGTGTAGAATTTGGATCCCAGACCAGCTTTCCTTTGATGTACATTTGTAGGTCAAAAGTCAAAATATAGGTCAAAGTGAGTTATTTTTGGTTATACAAGGCACATTGCCCCACTCACATTGACTGATGTTCTAGGAATTACCGGTAAGCCACATGTTCGGTCACAAGTTGTGTATGATATTGAGGACAGAAAAGATAGAGTGAAAAAGGATGGAAAGATGGATAAAAGGACAGGTGAAAGGATGGATGGACAAGACTATAAACCTTCCCAGTTCCTGTAACATCATGTTTTATTTACCTCAACTTTCCGATCTTTTTTTACTTCAACATCAAAATGTAGCTGCTCAAATAATCTCCTAACACTCTGTTCATCTTTATCAGTTCCATCTCGCCTCTGTAGCTTCACTACCCATTCTAAACCTTTCTTCACTCTAAAATCTAAATCTACGAAGTTGTTGAACAGTAAGACCCGTCCACGAGGTTTACTCTTCATTCTGTAGTACTGAAAGGAGACAAATTAAGCACATAATCTCACAACAAACTCTTCACAACACTTGAGGGAGTTAATAAATGATGGGAGAATTCACTAGATGATCTTTACTTCATTTTAGTTTTTATCTATCTTAGATATAAAAAAAAAACCCTAGATAGTGGTCTATTATCAATAATTTTTTTTCAAACTTAAGAGGCAAATTTATACATAAATGCAATTTGGTAGGAAACCTCACCAGTTACCATAGCCATACTTACCCTGTCACTGTGCCATAATTTTTGTGTTGTACTGGTTTCACTACATTTTTTAACTAAAAAGTCTGTCATACAGTCTTGTTCAGTCGGCCATTCTGAAACAAATTATAAACATTACTATTTATATCACACATAATCAAACTTAAAATTATGCATGATCATACTGCTGCAAATACAAAAATCATTTCTTATTGATTTAAAGAAGCCAGCAGAATGTTTTGTCTTAAATGGATATTCTGCAGTAGTTGGCAAATTTTTGGTTGTTTTGTACTTCTAAGAACTCTTTCTAACAAAAAAATTTAGATGAAGATACCCTTAAAAAAGATATCCAAACTCTTGAAGAAGAAGACAACACAGATTTAGTTCAATTGGAATCTAAAAAGAAAGAACTGGAAAGAATTAGAGAACATAGAATTAAAGGCAGCTGTATAAGATCAAGAGCTAAATGGATTGAAGAAGCAGAAAAAACCCACAAACTATTTTTTCAATTTAGAAAACAGAAATTTTGTTTCAAAAATAATACCTAAATTGCAATTAGAAGATGGGAGGATAATTGTAAAGCAAAAGGAAATTCTGCATGAAGTTCATGATTTTTATGAAAAGCTGTATACAGCTGATAGGGAGATAGAGGATGTTAATTTACATGAATTATTCAAAGATCACAATGTATACAAACTAAATAAACAGGAAGCAGAAACATTGGAGGGTACCATAACTCTAGCAGAAGCAGGGAAAACATTAAACAACATGAAAAATAACAAAAGTCCTAGAATAGACGGTTTCACAGTTGAGTTTTTAAATGTTTTTGGAAATACTTAGGCAATTTTATTGTCAGATCTATAAATTCTGGATATGAAAAATGTGAACTGTCTATTTCTCAACGACGTGGAATTATTACATGCATACCAAAGGGGGATAAACCCAGACACTTTATAAAGAACTGGAGACCAATCACATTACTTACATATAAAATAGCTTCTGGTACAATAACACGTAGAATTAAAACTGTTTTAGACAAAATTATAGACAAAGATCAAACTGGATTTCTAGCGGGGCGATTTATGGGGGAAAATACAAGACTAATTTATGATTTATTGCAATATTCTGAAGAAAATGATATCCCTGATATGCTGTTAATGATAGATTTCGAAAAGGCTTTCGATTCTGTCTCTTGGGTTTTTGTGGAAAAGGTCTTAAATTTCTTTGGTTTTGAAACTGGTACAATAAATTGGGTCAAAGTCTTCCATAAAAATGTTAGTGCAACTATCAATGGTTGTGTGCCAGTTTGCCAACACCAGTTAGATGAAAGAAAATGGAGAACAAAGGAAAAACAATTATAGTCTGCTCTTTAAAAGTGCCACCTGTTACCCGTAAAAATTTACCTGTACAGATAAATATACCTGTATATAACATATCTATATTTTCAAATTACTATGTAGTAAAAAGATGATATACATATGTATATAGAACTTTAGTTTCTTAAAATAAAAATAAAAGAAATTAATACAGTAAAAAAAAAATATTTTTAATTTCATCTTATACTTCATAATATATACTTACATTTTAAAAAACATATATACAAGTGAAATAAGTAGCACTACCAATATTAATTAACATAAAAAATGACTAATATTGTGAATGATAAATACAAATAGCACTTATATCATTAATGTAATTGTATAATAAACATGTAACACAAAATAGCATTAAAAGTTATTAAATTGTCATACTTTGAAGTATCACACTTTTAGTACACAGAGTCACTTGATAACACTTATTCGTCGCCGAGATGAACAAGGTGAGAAGCTGCGTTGGCGTAATCTATCAGGTCCATTGTGTTGTTGTGGTTCGAGCCGTTGTTGTGAAGACGTTCCTTCAGCTGTGCGAGTATGTGTTCAATGGTCCAGTATTTCTTGGCCCATAGTCTGTACGATCCTCCTGCACTGCGCTGTATCCTGGTAATCTCGTTGACTGCCTGTATCTCCTGAAATATCCGGATCAGTGTGTAGATATTCAGGTGGGAGTGTTGGTTCTTCTTCAGCTTTTTGTGCCAGGCTTCCAGGTGGTTGGTGGTTCTGGGTCCTTCTGTGTCGCGATGGTTCCACATGTGTTTGTTTCCTTCTATCCAGTGAGTGACGACGTAATCAGTGAAGCGGGTTTTGTCGCAGGGTACATCAGCATCCTCCAGTTCCTCCAGGGCATTGAACCAAACATGCTCAACGCGGTCCAGTGGTACAAGGGGTTGTACTGTTGCTAATCTCACAAGGTGGTTGATGTAGTCGTTTTCTTGGTAGGGTATCTTTAGGCCAATGGTCAGGACGTTCTTCCAAATACACTGGGTATTGTGGAAAACACATCCACTGATGTTGAGTGCAGGGAAGACTCGTCAAAGGGCGTTGTGGACATTTATCTCGAAGTCCAGGAAAGCAGTCGTCAGGTTGAGTGGGAGGTTGACGTTGGCCATGGTCGTTTTCAACAAAGTGAAAAATCTGGTGTAGATCTCCTGTGTCTTTCCTGGCAGTAGAGCGTAGACCAAAGGATACATGTGTCGTCTATCTGTGCATGTATTGAGTAAATCTGGTAGAAGAGTTTCGGGCAGGTGTAAAATGTTCCGTCACAATAAATAAATTTATCATTTTTATAAAATGCTAAATAGAATTAATGTAAATGTACAATTTCTAAAATTAACCAACTATATTAGCCTACAATAACCACTGTATAAGTCTATAGTCAAAATGTTTGCCCACTAAGTATCTCCCACAGGTAAACAGACATTCTACAGGTAACCTGTAATGGCTGTTTCCCTTTACGCCAACTCTGCAGAACATCAAAGGGATTATTTTTCTATTGTTCAAGATAATTGAGGGGCCCCAAGAAGGGGTACTTGGGGTGGTATACAGGTAAACTCAGGTAAATATATCTGATAAATACTTGTAACAGTTTTTAAGGTAAGTAATAAGAAATTCAGACATAATATAAACTTAACACATTTTATTTATTTTATTAATATGACATTAATGATAGACCATATGAAGATTACAATTAATAAACATTAATAAGCATATTATCATTTAAATTAAGCACAGAAATCACTTTTTTATTTTTAGTTTTATAATGTAGCACTAAATTCAACATATACATACTAAACTAAATTTTATCAATTGATTTTCAATTTTCAATATTTGATATACAAGCATTATTTTCATAAATTAAATACCTAACAGCACTAATTATTAGAATGTTCATAAACACGTATGTAGCACTAATTAATATTCACATAAAGCACAGAGTCTATTTATCCAAGATGAAGTAGCTGTGATGCTGAATCAGCGTAGGTCATCAGGTCAATGGTTCCATTTCCGTATCTTTCTTTGAGTGTTGTAAGGCGGGGGTCAATGTTGCAGTGCTTCTTCGCACGCGGTCGGGTGGTTCCTCCAGCTTCTCTCTGCATTCTGTTGATGACGTCGGCATTGTCCATTTCCTTGAATGTCTGTATGATGGCAAATATAGTCGGATGAGCGTGTTTCACCTTCTTCTTTAGTTTCCCGTGCCAGGCTTCTAGGTTGTTTGTTGTTCGTGGTCCATCTGTTTGGAAGTGATTCTGCAATGGTCTGTCTCCTTCCACCCACTGCTCTGTAACATAGTCTGTGAAAGGTGTTGTGTTCTGTGGTATTTCAGCGTCTTCTAGATCTTTTAGTGTCTGTAACCATACGTCTTCTATGCAGTCCATGGGTACCAGTGGTAGAACAGCTGCACGGCGGATGAGGGTCCTAACATCTTCGTTGTCACGGTATAGAGTTTGCAGTCCAGTTGTCAGTGCTTTTTTCCATACACTCTGGGTGAAATGAAAAAACAGCCTTTCATGGTGATTCCTTGGAATGTCTGGCGAATGGCGTTGTGTACTGCTACTTCAAAGTCGGCGAATGCATGGGTTGGGGCGAAAGGCAGGTATAGTTGAGTCATGTGTTCCTTGAGTAGGGTAAACAGTCGAGTGTAGATTCTTTGACTCTTTCCTGGTAGTAGCGCAAATACGACTGGCGTCATCCTTCCATCAATAACCACATGGATGCTGTAGATCTGATGAAACAAGCTCGGGCACATGTAAAATGTTCCATCACAGTAGAATGTGTCGGCAGTTGAGAGATATCATAGGTTCTCCGTAGTGGCGAAGGCTATAATTCGGTTCTGCTGGTATCGGTCGTCAAAAAGAAGAAATCTGTCTCCGGTTGATGTTTCTGTCCACTTCCCTTCCAGTCTGAAGTCAGAAAGAGTCTTTGGTAGCGCTGGGGTCTCCTTTCGGCGGGCTCTGTAGAGTGACGACTTGGCTGTATTGAAGGTAGGCAGTCGCTGTACCACCGCTTTGCAGTCTTCATCCCATTCTTCATCTCGGAGCTTGTGGAGTTCTTCTTTGTATATTGCTGGTATGGGTCTGACTTCTTCAAGACATCTCTTGGTGATGCTGTTTCTGATCTGCTGTGCTACAACTTCTGCATGATCTGCTGGATGGTTGTGTTCCTGTCTTCCAAAAGCAACTGGTATGTTGTTAAGGGCAGAGAGGGATCCTCGACAAGATTTTTCACCATTTCTGCGTATGATTCTGTAGATGAAACCATTATAGGCTAAATTCTGGCCCCCTTTCTTGTTGATTACGAACTTCAAATTCAGCTGTGCGTTTGCCATGTTACTTGATATGAGTGTTTCACTATGAATGTAAAGTATGATGCAGTCGCTGTATTTATACAGAGTGCAGTTGGCTTGGAGTGTTCAGTGTGATAAGTATTCAGGTTATCAGCTTGGACTTCTCATCATCAGTTATAATCTGTGCTACAGTAGTTAAAACAACTAAATATAACAATAAATGGTGTGAAAGTATGAATATAAAGTATGATGCAGTCGCTGTATTTATACAGAGTGCAGTTGGCTTGGAGTGTTCAGTGTGATAAGTAATAATGGTTTTTTTCTATTGTTAAATGATATAATTTTCAAATAATTCTTTTTTTTTATTGAACAATATAAATTTCAAATAATTCTTTTTTTGTCCTTAAATTTAAATAATGTAGCATTCAAAAACATCTTCTTTTTTCCTAACATTTCA